TAGATTTTTTTTTTCAACGAATCGACACATCGTTTTCACTCGGCATGGAAATAAAGATCGGACAATTCACAGATGGACGCCCCCGATCCGTTTTGCGTAATCCCGACACCCAGCCCCCTTTCCCTTTTCCGCGTCGCGGCGTAATAATTATTTCACCATATTGCCGAGAGTGCTCGTTAAAGAGTACGGTAAACAAGTCCGCGGCGGCTTTTAATGCACCACTCGCGCGCGATCGCACGTAACGGATGAATTAACGTACGTGCATCAAGGCATTTGCGCCGACGATCCAACGTACGTTGTGTGCGCGAATCGCGCACGTATATGCGCGTGCGTATACACGTGAGCGTGTGCCTCGATTTGTTGCAAGTTAGATATTCCGACCTTGACTACTAATCTATTCCCGCAAAACAGTCGATTCCTCGGAGTATCACGTGTACACAATGACATAATTGCGCGGCACTTGTAATTCAATTTCCTCACTCTACATTGTAGCGTTGAAAACGAAGATGCGAATTAAAAGCGTATATATCCGGAGAGATTTCAATATTCTATTCTACTCATTAATTATTCTACTATCTATTCTACTCGTTGATTATATATATAACGCCGCATTCTTAAGCGGTTAAGCGTTAAATGGTATTCCTCGTATATACATCGAGTACTTATGAACGGGTTGTAACCCTTTAAATAAATCTCGAAGAAAGTTAAGGGTGTTATGAGAAAATGAGTTGTGTGCTATTTCTATAAGGACTTTAAATCTTAGACGAATACTCTCCAAGGCCTTTGAGAGATCAATAAAATTTGGAAATTTTATTGATATCTTTTTTATTGAAATTAATAAATAGAGGATTTTCGATACTTATTGTGATTTTTGACTACTGAATAGATAGACATATTTTTCAGATTATTTATTTACGATCGATTAAAACAATTATATTCCAAATTATTTTACTTTATTATATTAAATTGTACCACAAAATATGGTAATTTTTTTCAAACTTATGATGTAAAGACTGAAGAGGACTCTTAGAGCTTTATGTATTAGGATTTATTTAATTTATTATATCGAGACGTGCCTCCAACTAAGAAATAAATTCTTTTTTATATTATTAGGTTTTATTAAAATTTCGTGTACATTCGACATATTAAAATGAGCATTGTTCCATTCTTTGTTTTAAACGATTAATCAGTTCCTTCAACGTATTTGAGAAACGTAGTAGTCAAAGTAATTTAAATTGCAAAGTGAAAGTGGATTGCGCAAAATGAACTACTATCCTATAATTATGCCAGAAGAACGAGGAAGAGCGAGTTGTTTTCGCACACAATGTCTCGAATAGACGCACCGGTGAAATGATCGATAGCCATCATCGGACAGCCATTGAATCAACTTCCGCCGCTTAGATAAAATCAAGTAAATATGTGATCTCTTGGAAAAATATCATTTATAAAAAAAAACCATCACAAATACAATTTATAATTAACGCGTAATCGCTAGATAAAATTATCATTTATCTGAATGAAACTAACGATCTTGTCAGTTTCGATATCTCGATCTTGTCCATAATACATTCGCCGTCTGAAGCAGCATTCGATATAAATAAATGCTGATCACGGATGATACTTGGGAGGGAATAAACATGAAAGAATAGACAGCGCATTCTTTGGTCTTAGCAAATGTCCGTGCTTGGTTTAAAAACGCGACGTTGAATCATATCTCACTTCAACTTAATACTGTCATGAGAGAAAGCTAGATAAAAGCGTCCAATACTCGACAGTAAACCTTTTGCAAGAATATAAAAATAACAAATAACATAAAAAGAAGATAAGGGGAAAAGGTGGCGATAGAAAATAAATATCTAGAAAAAAATAGAGATAAGAATAAAAAAAAATGAAAATAAAAAAGAGAGAGAGAGAGAAAGAGCTTTAATTTAAGCTGTCTCGTTTCTTTCTAAACTGACAGTGACAACTTTACAAGAGTACGCAGTCTATTCTTGTTGACTGGTATTTAATTAACATCACGTATTGCTGTCGCGTGAAGAAGTTCCCCGACCGATCACCGGTGCATCTACCCTCCCATGTTTTCTCGAGGGTGCATCGACATGCAGAGAGTTCTCTCGGCGCGCAAAAAGTTCCGTCTGAACTCCGCGGCGAGAGAGGCAGCAGAGGAGATTCGCGAAAGGTCGCGCGCGTGCGCGCGCGGATCGCGACGTTTCTAGAAAGAGCGCGATCGCCCGCACGAATGGAACGAATGGGAGTGTGTAAGCACAGATGCGGGCGGTGGGTTTTTCGTGCCGAACGGAACTCGAGGGGTGAACCGCGAGCGAGATAGGATGCGACTCCGAAAATGCAAAAGTCGTTTGAGATCCTTCAACGACTTTTCCAAGTTTTCACTAGGATGCCATTGCATAGGAATGATCGGGCCCCCTTTTTCCGCCAATGAAATCGACATCAAGGTCTGGTTCCATCGATGTAAGACCGAACTCGATTTAACTTACTGTTTACTTTTTCCCAATGCCCGTTTCTCACCGATGTAGTTCAATTCTCACCTCACAGTTCAATTTTAATCTCGGTTTGACTAACATCGTCTCTTTCTTATTTTAAGAAATTAGAAAAAGATCAAGGGTAGGTTGAACTGAAGTTAAAGTTGTCTATATTGATAGAAACGAGAACAAATCTTAGACTTAGAAAAGGAAAAAGGGCAAATTGAGGAGATTAAAATTAATCTTACATTGGTGGGGCTGGGCCTTAATTTCTGTCAATGCGGATTAACTTTAATTACTCGATTTAACTTACTTTTTCGAGTTCTAAGAATTAGAAACGGATAAAGAATACACTAAATCCACGAGATTGAAGTTAATCTTCATTGGAATGAAGTTAGTCTACATTAGAAATGGGGAATATCTCAAATTGAAACAAACCACCGCGAAGTTAGCTGTTATTTTCGAGGTGATCGAATGGGTATCGACGATAATCGGTATCTCAATCTGGTCCTCCAAATCTGCCTATTCCGTCGTCGATTTCGCGAAGAGAGGAAAGTAACATATGGCGAACGAGATTAATGAGAATTCGATACTTACGATACGTACAAGCCTTCTGCTCCTTATTGACGTCGGGACACTACGTCACGGCACGTTTCACTGATCTTTCGTGAGATCGGAGTGTGTTGTCATATATAAGTATGCAGAGATATCAACATCTGGTCCGTGAATTTCGCTTCTTAATCAACGCCTGCCTCTCAATTGCGTATAAACGCCGTTCGGAGGTTCCGCGCACATGAACGTGCCGCTTCTTCTCGATGTCTCGATGTGTACGGACAGGAGCTCGTGACGCCGAGAACGTGGAGAAACGTACGCGTTCGTTCTCGAACCACCAGGAGTCGAATTGCGCGTAGTCGTGAACGAGAACACCGCCGAGAGAACTTGGCGTCTTTCGCGTTCGCGTTTCTCTCTCTCTCTCTCTTTCTCTCTGTCTCACTGCCCGTCTCCGTCGACGGGCAGAGGCCGGTCTCCGCTTCGAAGCTCGTGAACAAGAAGCTCCAAAGAGCTCTCGCGTATAGCCGGGTCTCTGTTCCGCTCCACTCCCCCCCCCCC